TTGTTGTTGTTGTTGTTGTTGTTGTTGTTGTTGTTGTTGTTGTTGTTTAATTTCAAACCTCAGTGGTTACATTTACAAGTTTCTTTGAAAGTAGGTTTTAAGACAACATTAAGCAGATCTGATGGGCTGTGTGGTAGTTCGTCAACAGTTTGTAGTTTCACCAGGACGTACAGCTTGTTGAGCTGCAGTAAACTCTGTTGTTGTTTCTTTCAGCCTGAAAACGTCTTTTATTAAATTTATGACCGTCTCCATAAAATTCTTAGAAATGTTTTCAGTTAAAAACAAATTGGACATGTTTCTTTTGACTGTTCTATTGAGTCAGAATCAAGGGAACTGGGTTTGTTTTTAATTTTCCATTGTCATCTTCAGAATCAAAAAAGTCAAGTTTTCTTGAACTCAAATAGTTTTTGTTTTTTTTACCATCTCCTTAATGAAAGTGCACCAGCTGATTCTTGATGAATATTTAGATCCAGTCTTTCTTTCTTTCTTTCTTGGTCACGGTTGTTGCCCCCTGCTGGTTATTGCAGAAAATGCAGCTTCAAATCGGGTGATTTTGTGTGTTGTTTTGATTTTTTGCACAAAGTCCTGTTAGATAAAGTTCTGTTAGGACCTTGTGCACAGAACCAGTTCACGGGGCTCATGTGACATCAGTGATAACAAATGTCTTGATGTTTTGCAGAGTATTAATCTGCCTTTCGCTTGAAGTTTATGTTGCAGGTGATATCATGAGATGGATTCACTAAAACTTTAAAAGTAATCCTACAAAATCAAATGATTTAGAGAGACTTGAAATATTCTAGCTGTAAACCATGAGCGTCAGTAGTTTCAAATCTTAATTCGTAATTGAATTGAATTGAAAACAGTAATTTTTCGTTATTTTACTTAAATGTAATAACACAATTTGAAAACCCCAACTTTAACAGCACTCTTAAAAAATTATTTAATTTTAATCCAATTATTCTATTAAATGTTCAAACATATAGAGATTAAACATAAAAAAACGATGTAAAATGTGCAGCATCATCCAGTTTTTGACTAAAGTATGATTATTAATCGAGCACCAGTAAGTGGAAACATTTGTACAACTTCAAATGTTTGTTGTTTTGATGGGAACAAGCTCAGCGTGACTCACACGATGAGTTTCAGTCTGAGGGGAAAACCTCAGCCATGAAGACGGGCGGGCCAAGAGACCGTCGCCACGGTAACAAGGCGGTTCAAAGTGTCAGCCGCACAGTTCTTGTCCAGACATGAAAGCCTAGAACACGTCTGGAGAGCCTTTTCTCCCAGGAGGGAAGAGGAGAGGAGGAAGGAATGAGACACGAACAGAATGAAACATTTACAGATGTGTGAAAAAGGAAAGACTAACACAAGTTTAAAGAAGTTCTGCAGGTTTTTTTTTTAATGATGGAGTAATAAAGAATTGAACCAGGAGGTAAATAGTGTTTTGACTGTATTTGTATTCAACTTACTGTCCAATAAATCAGCTTTTATTTTTAGTTTATTATCAAATGAAAGAAAATGTTGATCTAAATGAGTTTTTTTGGTTTTAAGGATTGACGTGGTCTGTGTATCTGGATGATGTGAATTTTACCCACCCTCCCCCACGTTGCTCTCCTTATGGACCTTCATCACCTCCTCCTCCTCTGCTCTGCCTCCACGCAGCCTGTCGTCAGCTGATAAAGGAGGAATGTTTCACCTCCTGCAGGAGCCCGTCTTGATAATTTTTTGACTCTGGGCGACCCTAACAGAGCAGCTTCTGCTCTACAACAAATGTTTAAAGAAAAGTTCAGACATCTGCAGAAAATGGAAAAATGTAAACTGAAAAAAAATATTTAATGTTTTATGGACATAAACTCCCTGTTAATAAAAATGATGATGAGAACATTTGGAAGACATGATCTGTTTCTCGTCAGGCGTGCTTTAGGTGTTCTGCACCGTCTCTTTAGGTGTCCAGTGTCTGTAACAAGCCGTTTCGCTGGTCCTGACTCCATTTTGTTTTCTTCCAGCTGCAGGTCAGAACCCAGACCATGTTTTGCTGGGGGAGAGTGGGAAACCTGAGGCCCGGCGGACTGGTGAGGACTCAACCATCGCACCTGAGGACTTGCCTCGATTCCTGAGCTGCTACTGCTCAGGACACTGTCCCGATGACGCCACCAACAACACCTGCCAGTGAGTCCAACACCCCTGTCCCATCCTGGAGATGCATGATGGATCCAACAACGTTCAGTCAGGTCATCTGGACATTTTTTTGTTGCCGAGATGTTTCTTCCTTCATCCAAAGGACTTCATCAGTCTGAGGAGCCACAACAAATTCAGTCCCACAAGCAGCACACTCACATGCACTGTGAGTTGTTGTGAACTCGTGAGTGTGCTGCTTGTGGGTTTGTTGTGACTCCTCAGACTGAGGAAGTCCTTTGGATGAAGGAAGAGACGTCCTAACAACAAAATAAACTGTCCAGATGACCTGACTGAACGTTGCTGGATTTTTTTACCTGGATTATTTAACATAAATTTTGATAAATGATGGGATGTTTCAACTTTTTCACTCAACTTACTTTACTGTGAAAAGCTCATTGGCAGAACCAGAACATTAAAGTTGGTGTCTGATCAAAAGTTTCAGTCATAAAAATTATGATTTGGAGAAGGTACCGCTTTAACTGGTGAAGTTTCCACCTCTGGAGTTTTTCTTGTACAAACCAGGTTCCAAAAAAGTTGAGACACTAAACAAATTGTGAATAAAAACTGAATGCAATGATGTGGAGGTGCCAACATTAATATTTTATTCAGAACAACACAAATCACAGATGAAAAGTTTAAACTGAGAGAATGTATCATTTTAAGGGAAAAATATGTTTCCAAATTTCATGGCGTCAACAAATCCCAAAAAAGTTGGGACAAGTCCATTTTTACCACTGTGTGGCATCCCCCCTTCTTCTTACAACACTCAACAGACGTCTGGGGACAGAGGAGACCAGTTTCTCAAGTTTAGAAATAGGAATGCTCTCCCATTCGTGTCTAATACAGGCCTCTAACTGTTCAATCGTCTTGGGCCTTCTTTGTCGCACCTTCCTCTTTATGATGCACCAAATGTTCTCTATAGGTGAAAGATCTGGACTGCAGGCTGGCCATTTCAGTACCCAGATCCTTCTCCTATGTAGCCATGATGTTGTGATTGCTGCAGAATGTGGTCTGGCATTATCGTGTTGAAAAATGCAGGGTCTTCCCTGAAAGAGATGACGTCTAGATGGGAGCATATGTTGTTCTAGAAATGTTTTCCTATCACTGATCTCAAAATGCTGTTTTATAAAATGAGAACCTGTCAGCTCTTCCTTTTCTGGGTTTGTGGAGTTTTGTTGTAAATATTACTCACTTTAAATAATTAATAATAGACCATAAACAACCGTAATGTTGACCACTTTCTGATTTAAAGTGGTTTGTTGATGTCAATGTTTGTCTTCAGGACCAATGGTCAGTGCTTCGCTATCATTGAGGAGGACGAGCATGGAGATGTTCTGCTCACCTCCGGCTGCATGAAGTACGAAGGCTCCCACTTCCAGTGCAAGGTATGCTGATGTACACACCTGCGCAAACAGAAAATCATTTAAATCCTGAGTGAAGTCTTGAAAACTGTTAATGCATTCGATCTGGAGGGGATTTCACAAAGTTTGAGTTCATCCATAAACTCTGATTCAACTTTCAGCTCGAGGAAACTGAGCTTTCAGTTCCAGAAAGACTCGAGGGTTGAGCTGCTGAAGTTCTTGTTGTGAAACCAGAACAACTTCTGCTAAATTTAGAAGTTTAATTAAAAAACAGATTTTCGTTTCTTTTAGAAACTTGAGAAATTCTGTTTCTAGTTTGTTATAATTAATAATTAATTGGATCTCCGTCATTGTTTTGGGTTGTTTGTTCAGGGAGGCGTTTTGCATTTTTATAAATTCTGTTGAACTCGCACTGAGGTTTTGATGCAGTCAGTTTCATTCTGCTCTCTGACTGCATGACTGGTTTGATTGACAGGACTCTCCCAACGCTCAGACCAGGAGAACAATTGAGTGCTGCGACACACATTTCTGTAACGAAGACTTGAGGCCCACCCTGCCGCCGCGGATTCCCATCGGTAAGCTGATCTGAGAGCAGTTCAGGTGAGTGCTGCGCCGCAGGTTTAATTAACCTCAGCTTGTTTCTGCAGAGAGCAGCTCCCATTGGCTAGCCTTCCTCATCTCCATAACCGTCTGCTGCTGCACTCTGATCTGCATCACCATCGTCTTCTACTACAGGTAGGAACTCACCTGAACACGATCTTACCTGCAGAAACGCTTCATTCTGGAAAAGAAAGCTGCATGTTTATTTCAGGTACAAAGTTGTATAAACAGATACAATTTTACAGATTTATCGAACATTATATTATATTTATGAATAAATGCCCAAAGATTAATTATCATCTGGAAAATGGAAGTGGAATGTAAAACTATAACTTCTAAAGCAATTAAAAACATTGTTAGAAAGGTTTTTAATTATTCTAAAGCCAAATTATTTGCACATTCACTTTCAGGTTTCATGTAGGTGGAGTAAGTTTGGTGAAGGTTTTTTTATTTTATTATTATTTTAACATTTTGGAAATCAGAAACATATGACTTGCAATATATCACCTATAAATGCTCTTAGTCGTCCATTGATCAGTATTTTTCTGACAGTTTTTTTTTAAATAACCAAATGTCAAACAATCCATTTCTTTAAAACTTTAAACCTTAAAAATGTCTTCAGTTTGTTTCCTCTGATTGTTGCGTCATGTCCAGTCAGCCTGCAGCTGTTTCTAATCTTCTCTCTCTCCTCTCCTGTAACTCTAGTTTTAATGGAAACATTCCTTAAATGTTGGTTTCACAAAAATCCAGATTTCTTAACTTTTAATTAACAGCTCACCATAGGAGCTTCCATGTCATGTGCTCAGGCTTCAGTAGCCGAAGAGTCGTATAAAATAAAGCTCCAGGAAACTTGTTTTTTTTCCTGTAATTCTCAAATTTAGACCAGGACGAGGTCAAACATCAGGACTGGATGTGGGTTAAACATCAGGACCAGGTTTGTGTCAGACATAAGAACTGGGTATGGGTCTGGGTCAGGTATCAGGCTGTGGTTTTATCCTGTTTGGTTTTCTGACCAACAGCTCCCAACTAAAGTCACCTACAGGCATCTGTTTCCAGACATTTTTCAGTGGGTTCAGACATCAAGAACATCTGGAGCCTACAATATTTAGGTTTACTCTGACTGTTTGGGGGAAATAAAAAGGCCAGACGGCTCTAAAACAGATCTCAGATATATTTTGGGTTTGGCAAAAAAAAAAAAGTTCATTGTGATTGTTTTATGACTGAAAAGACTAAAACTGTTTAGTTACTCCTGTTTTGATTCTTGACCAAATGAACCAAACTGCAGGTGTTGGAAAAAAGCTCTCCTCATCAGCAGTGAGAAACATGAAGCGGTAACTGTGTGTGCGCACTCGTGTGTGTTTACAGATATAAGTGGCAGTCTGAACGTGAGCGGTATCCTAAAGACGTGGAACAGGAAGTCTTTATCCGAGGAGGAGAATCGCTCAAAGATCTCATTCACCAGTCTCAGAGCTCCGGCAGTGGCTCAGGGCTCCCCCTGCTGGTAGGAATAACACATGACACATCTGCAGCTACACCCAGTTAATAAACACATTTTCCTGATGTTTCTAGAAATAGACAATAAAATCTGTTTGTATTTTAAGTCTGGCCAGTGACTAAAACATTTTTAAGTAGCCAAAGTCTAAAGAGAAGCTTTGAACTGCAAAAATCCTGAAAACTGGGGGTGCAGGCAACAAAGAAGGCAGCACACTACACATTACACGCTGTGCTGAAAACTGGGTGAAAAGTTATTTTTAGGCACCTTACATGAACAGAAAATTATGAAACACTGCTTTGAGTTAATAATTTCCAGTTCAAGTTATTTTTACTGCAACATTGCACTGCCGATGGCCAATAATGTGCAGAAATTCAAGTTCACCGGAGGTCCAGAGGACCAGACTTAACTTTTTTTTAGATTTTTCTACCTGGATTATTGAGCATGCATCAGGATATTCACTAGAGCCACCTCTGCAGCTGATCATCCTGGTCTGCGCATGGTGACCAAATGGAAATTGCAGATCTGAAGGCCTTGCATTGTTGAAGGTGGAAATGGTTTTGCTTCTCAGGTCTGAACTGAAGACTGCTCTGGCTGAAGATTTCAAAAACATCAAATCTGAGCTACAGGCAGTAAAAAGAGCTAGCAAGCAACAACATGGTCATTTACTCCGACATAGAGACGATGAAAAGGACAGTGTCACATGTGGAGCAAGGGCTCTCATCATGCTTGGATGACGTCTTCGCTTCTAACAAAAGTGGAGAAACTCAGGACAGAAGTCAACAATTTACAGCAGAATTGTCTTGACGTGGAAGGAAGAATGAGGCGCTCCAATATCTGAGTACTAAACGTCCCCCAGGCTCAAATAAACTGGCAGCTATCTCCAAAATACAAAGAGAAGTATTGAAAATGGACAAAGACATCCTGGTCGACAGATCTCAGAGGCAGCATCACGCTATGGAGATGTTCTTCAGCAGCAGGAACTGGCAGACTAGTCAGGATGGAGGGAAAGATGAATGCAGCAATGTACAGAGACATCTTGGGATGAAAACCTGCTCCAGAGCACTGTTGACCTCGGACCGGAGCGACTGTTCATTTTTCAGCAGAACATCGACCCAAAACACATGGACAAGATCTCAAAGGAGGGGCTTCAGGGCCACTCTGTGAAGGTCCTGGAGGGGCTTCAGGATGACACTGTGAAGGTCCTGGTGGGGCTTTAGGATGACACTGTGAAGGTCCTGGTGGGGCTTCAGGATGACACTGT